AAATGACATTAAGAACAATAAAACTCTAACGAAGTAACATTATGACAATAACGAATCGACATAAACAATGTAGCAAAAATAAAATATGCAAATGCTGATGACATGAATGCATAGCACAACTTCATTTACAATCAAATGTGTTATACATTTTTCTGTACGTGTTAGCTACTCACATAAGGCAAATACGCCATCAGTGGCCTACCATCAATAAAAAAATAGAAAAACTCCGTGTTTTTTTGCACTATTTTTGTTTTTCCTACTGCAGTTTTTTATTTTTAATTTTTCCACGCAATAAATTTTTTTTTCGTTTTGCGGCGACGTCGGTCCGTGCAAAACTATATTTCTTTTTCCTAATAATATCCCTCTCTGGCGTTCTGTGTTGCTGTTGTTGTGTTGCTGTTGTAGTTTATGTTGTTGCTGTTTCGTTGTTGCTGTTTCGTTGTTGTTGTTTGCTATGTTTGTCTTGTTTGAGTTGTTTTTGTTTATTTGTTTGTATGCTTGTCAATGTTTTGTTTCCTTCATTAGCGTAGGTATGTTTTTTTAACCTTTCTTCAAATTTTCTTCCCGACGCAATTTATATTTAAAATATTTTGACGCCAAAATCGTATATATCTTAAGAAATTGTTGTTTGTTTTAAAAGTTAAGTGAGAAAATTTGAGTTCATTCAAAAAATTTTTTACCACAATGAACCAACAAAAAAAAACAAAAAACAAAGAACAAACAAACAAAGAACAAATATTGGAACGTCACGGGCAAAATAATAAATCTACGAAAAATGCACACACCCACATGTGCCGCACAATTTAGCACTGACACACTGAAAACGCGCAAAAACATACGACGCAACGGTACAAGTTAGCTAGCAACCGCACATACGATTTCACACACAGGCACACGTACACAGACGGACACGTACACACACGTACACACACATTTACACACACGCACGCACAGAGAATAAAGACAATGCAAACAGCAAAAAGTCGGCAGAATAGCTCATTAATTAAATCCTTAATTAACAACAAAAGACGTTCAACACGCAATAGAACAGTTCGTTTTAATTCTCCAACAAATGCAAATCTCTTATCATATACATACATACATACATACGAGCGTACGTTGGCACACACACACATACAAAAATAAGTACATACCTACATGTGAAGAGACATACTTTTGTATACGTTTATGTAGATATATACATAAGTATACGCTTTTCAGTTTAAACTCTTATACAAAAACTAATAAATACAAGCCTATATACACACATAAACATAGATACATAGATTACACATTACACATACATACTTAAACGCACAAACATAAACATGAACCTGAGCAAATGTTTATACACCAATATACGCACGCACGCACACACACACACACACACACATACACACACACTCACATGATACATACAAACAATTATTTTATTTTAAACTGACGATGACGACACTTGCTAGTACTAACTTACACGCATGCAAATAAAAATCCCTCCCTCATGCGCAAACTCATCACGCACATAAACAAACAAGCACATAAATACAAATGATCACGTGCAAATTTTGATGCAAATACAAAATGTATACAAAACAAAAAACAACACAAATACGTATACATATATATATATATATATATATATATATATATATATATATACAAAGAAACATAGAAGGCAACATTCAAAATTACATATACATCTATACACTCAATTAAAGCATACGTACACACACAGACGTACACACAGGCATACAAACACAGACATACAGACACAGACGTACAGACACACAAACAAAGACACATACACGCAGAATAAAATTGGCTTCACGTACATGGGAACTATAAATGCAAGATGTTTCAAAGGTTTTTAATTCAATGCTATGAGATTTATAATTAAGTTCATTAGATGGGGATGATATTTTATTAGCGAATGAATTGAACAATAAATGACTGACTGAATGAACGAGTTAATGAGTAAATGAATAAACAAAAAAAAATAAACAAAAGAATGAGTGAGTGAGTGAGTGAGTGAGTGAGTGAACGAGTGAGCGAGTGACTGAGTGAATTAACGATTGAATGAAAAGTTAATTAATGAATGAAAGAAAGAAAGAAAGAAAGAAAGAACAAATGTATGAATAACTATCCGCATCATTGGAAACACGGAAAGATTGATTGATAGATAATTTGGTAAATGAATAAATGAAGGAGTGAAACAAAAATGAAAACATAAAAACGGGTGAACATGTCAATCATCACGGATGAACGGAAGAATAAAACAAGTGCACAATTAAAAGAAGGAAGAAAAAATAAATGATAGATGAATAAACTGAAAAAATGAACGAAAGAACAAACGAAACATTAAAAATTGAATTTGATTAATCGAATAATGATTGAGTGAGTGAGAGATGGATGGAAAAAGAAACCAAAAATAAAAATATCTGACTTGACTAACAAACATGCTGATGAACTAAAAAAATATAAATCAATCTAACTAACATCATCATCCAACCATAAATTATCTTACATAAACGCGTCCAACCGCGTGCACGCACGCACATACAAACACAAATGTACACAAATGTACAAAACGTATAGATACACGAGAATTTGTAAAAAAAAAACTTAAATATTAATTAAGTATTGAGAGAAACACGCAACTCACGCCGGAGAAGGAGGTAGAAAATTCCAGAGAAAAGGGCCAGAAAAAGCAAATTCAAATTTGGCAAAAGAGTGTTTAACACGAGTTAAGACGAAGTGAGAACAAGAAGGCAATCTTAAACCGGGGCGTTTAGGTTCAATTAATATATCTGATAAGTGCTTAGGAAAAAATATAGATTAAGACTTATACATAAATCTATGTTTTATAGGTAGCCAAAATACACTTGTGTGCCTAAATTGCAAGTTATTTGTAGTCCCGTAACTGACAAAAACTTTTTATACAGATTATAAAAAAAGCAATGAATAAAATGTGTACGGGCATGTGTGTATATACGTAAATATACATTAGAATGTAAAGCGAATGTGATTATACAATACTTTATGCGCATATATGATGCGTATAAACGTGTGTATAAAGTGCGTACATTTGTGTATAGATTGCGTATTTGATTCATCCTATTGTGTATGTGTAAACAAGACGTATGTGGCCGTGCAGTTTGCACGCGTTTTATAAATATATTGAAGAATAAAGTTTCGAAGAGCTGTTTACTATTGGATAAATTTGATTTAAAGGCTGCACCAGATGAACCCGTTCATAACGTAATGAATTAAAATTAACAATCAGATTAATCATGACACACTACTTGCAATTTTATGGCAATCATCTCAATTATTATTATTATTATTATAAAAAAAAATAAAAAAAGATGATGATGAAGAGGATGGTAGTGGATGATGATGACGATTCGTCTTTGATGGTGATGATGGTGATTGGACGATTATGATGATGACATGGAGGTTGATAAGAAAAATGATGGATACGATGATGACAGAGAAGGGTGAAAATCTAAGGGTAATAATAAAAAAAATATTTTTATGAAATAATAATGTGAATAATAATAATAAGGGTGGTTTAATTGACTTAGTCCTATGTAAACAAGTGTGTGGTTTATTCTCTTTTTCTTTCTCTCTCTCTCTCTCACACACACACACACACACATAACTCACACAGACACACACACACACATACATACACACATACATACACACACATATGCAAATCAATATGTACAACACACAAAAATACATTACCTGTATATTTGTATGCCATACAAAATAGGTAAAACATCGCCACAAAAACATGCGCACACACGCACACATACAAACGCACACATAAAACCACACGCCAACACAAGCGCATACACATGGAAACATACAAAATTCTAATCATTTGCATAAAGTTAATCGCACACATAACCAATAGTACACACATAGACACCCACACATACGCATACAATGACAAAAAACAAAAGCATTTACATAAAGCTAATCAAAACTGCACACACACACACATACACACACACAAACAAACACACATACACACACACACGCACGCACGCATATTAAGAGCCAAGAGGCATAATAGAGAATAGAGCAGAGCATATAAGAGAATGCATCAATAGTCCTATCAGTAAGAGGGAAAGCCGTCATCCATCATCATCCTACCTCTACTGCTACCCATACTTTTCCAACTACTGAATATTCTTTTATTCCTTTATTTTTCTCTTGCTATAGTTTATCATTATTATTATATTTGTTTGTTTATCTATTATTTTGTTTATTTAGTTATTTATTTGTTTGTTTATTTATTTAATCATTCATTTATTTAAAATTTTTTGTCAGATTAAATATAAAAATTATTTTGATCACTTTAACGAAAAGCGATTTTCTGCAGCTTGCTTCATGAAGCGAACAACAGTATAACACAGTATTTTCAGCAGTAATTCCTGTAATAGTAATATGGAGGTAGTATAAATTTTTGCAAAAATAGGTCATATATCTAGTTTACTACTACAGTGGTAGTGGTAGTGGTGGTGGTGGTGGTGGTGGTGGTGGTAGTGGTAGTGGTAGTAGTAGTAGTAGTAGTAGTAGAAGTAGTAGTAGTAGTAGTAGTATAGTAGTAGTAGTAGTAGTAGTAGTAGTAGTAGTAGTAGTAGTAGTAGTAGTAGTAGTAGCAGTAGTAGTAGTAGTAGTAGTAGTAGTAGTAGCAGTAGACGAGCACTTGTTGCAGATGTAATGGTTGTTGTCTATATTTATCCTATAGTTTATTACATCTTAGATATGGCGCTGATTTCAAAATGTGTGTATGTCTGTTTGTGTGTGTGTGTGTGTTAAGGTAGATAAATGTTTGTACATACATAAATATATGTATGTTAGTGTGCTTTGTATGTTTCTGATTATGTCTTTATATGTGTGACTGTTTGTTTGCCTTGTGTGTGTGTAACGATATCAACTCGTTTAATGTACACACGTACATTAAACGAGTTGACAAAAGTAAAAACCTGTGTGTGTGTTTGTGTGCATGTGTATATGTGTGTGTGTATGTGTGTGTATGTGTGTGTTTGTTTGTATGTGTTTAGTGTAAGTTTATAATTTATTCTTTTATTCAAATATCCATCTCATACATTTAAACCAAACAGGCTTTTAATTATTGGGCCAGGGTAGGCAAGCAAGAAGCTTCATACAAAAGTCAGCTACATTGAAAGCCATCAATTCATTTTCCAGTTTTTGTTTTGCCATTAAAGCCATAATTATTTGATCCTTTGTACTCTCCTCCATTATATTCTTTGCAGTGGTTGGTCCTGCTCTGATTGTTGGGTAACATCAATGTGAATGTTCCGCTCGTATGTACGATGCGTGTGTGTGTATATATGTATGTGTGTGTGTGTGTATGTGCGTGAGTTTGTGTTTGTGTGCGCGCGTGTGTGTATTATATATATATATATATATATATATATATACATATTTATATACATATGTTTGTATATGTTGTTTGAAGCTTCTTACTATATTTGAATATATATATATATATATATATATATATATATATTATATATATATGTATATATAATGTATTGACCTACGATGTAAGATGAATGAGCAGATGCATCCGAGTCATATCTACTTGATTGATCCGTTGGTTGATTGGTTGATTGATTGGTTGGTTAATTGGCTGATTAATTGATTGATTGGTTGGTTGATTGATTGGTTGGTTAGTCAATTATTTGGTTGGTTGGTTGAGTTGTTGGTTGATTGATTGGTTGGTTGATTGAGTGATTGATTGGTTGATTATTTGATCGAATAGTTTGTTGGTCGGTTGAATAATCAGTTGAATAGGTAAGCGAATTTATAGGTAATATTTTGAATAGGTAAGATTTTAATGAATTATTGAATTGATTGGTTAAACGATTGATTAGTTAATTAAATAGTTAATCAATTGTTCGATTAATTAATTAACTAGTTGGTTGGGCGATTGTTCGATTTATAACCAGCCAAAAATTAGCTTATTGGATAACTTACTCGCCCGCCACTGTTTTAAATTTAATTACTCTATATATTTTACTTTTTTTAGAGTGCTAAAAAAGTATTTGCATTAATTTTCTATCAAAATGTATTTTAATTAATCTAATTAAACAAATAAAAAACAATTAAATGTATAATCAACTTAATAACTGAACAAACAAACAAAAAATCATTACTTTTAATAATTAACATAGCGAATCGGTCAGCTAAATATAATCATTTGATTAATTAGGAATACCGATAGGATGTGATGATGTAGAATGATGATAATGAGAATGATGATAAAACTGATAATTATTGCGATTTTGGTTACTTTAATAATGATGATCCTTACAATGATGATACCATATCAATGGAGCTGTTCGTAACTAATGATATCATTGATATCGGCAATGAAAAACCGAAAATGACTACGACTAAAATGATGTGACTAAATAATGATATAATGATACTGAGAAGTTAGATAGTGATATCAAAAGATGTAAGCTATCTATGTTGATGATACTGGTGTATTAATATTATCACCATAGTCTACTATCACGAAAACATAAAATGATGATGATTTGGTTGTGATAGTGATTAAGATTGGATGGTGATAATGATGATGATTATAGCTGACGGTTCGTTTTGTTATGATGATGACGATGATTATTACAGTGCGTTCGTTACGATGATGACGGCGATGATGATGGTGATTGTGGTGATGATGATGATGATGGCGGGGTGCATCTCGTTATGCAAATTTCAAATCATTGTACATCGCCAGATCAATCATGTAACTAAACAGATAAAGATAGACGGAAGAGAAAAAAAAACAAACATTGCGGTCATGATAACGATGACGACGATCGGAACGTTCCTGATAATGATGACGACGACGACGATGATGATGATAATGATGTTTGATGAATCATCCATCACTATTTCCTGCATCATTCTTTCTTATAAGCATTTAAATATCTATTTATTCATTTTTCTTTCGCAGTGTTATCAATCTAAAAATGCATCCTGTAATCCTTGGCACAGTCAGTCTATCCGTCAATCAATGCATCTGTTTTATGTATCTATCTATCATCCGTATATCTGATATATTTAACACCATTTTCATCATTACACATCTCAAACTACGCTACGTTTGAATTCTAAAGTTTCTTGCAACGCTAAAATAATCTCATTAGAAAAACATGGAATTTGAAATTTATGTTCTTAAAAATTAATTCAATATTTTTGTCTATACGTTTGGTATTAGATACACAAACAAACACGTGCACACACACAGACAGAGAGAGAAACACGTACAAATGCATACACACACAAACATATACACACAAATAGTATTCATCTATACCTACTTATATTTTTTATCCATACAACCAGTTATACATCCGTTTGTCTATCAACTCATTAAACCATCAATCCATCCATCTCATCGTTCAATCCATTTATTCATTCATCCAATCGCCATTAATCCTTATTATATTATAATCCATCTATTAATCTATCCGTTCCTCCATCCATCCATCCATCCATCCATCCATCCATCGACCCCACCTTCGACGTCTTGCTTGCCTACAACCCCCTCTCCATCCACACGCATTCACTCAATAATCCATCTATTCGCGCGTTTCTGTTTGTTTATTTAATTTAATGTTTACACGTTCGTTCATTCTGTTCAATCATTCTTCAGTTCATGCACGCATATTTGCATTCGTTTGTTCGTTCGTTCGTTCGTTCGTTTGTTCGTTTGTCCTTTTGTTCGTTCACTCACTCATTTGCTTTTTCGGTTTCTGTTTTCTGTTCATTCTGTCGTTTTTTCGTTTCATTCATTCAATTATTTTTCTTCTTTGCTCATTTGCTCCTTAATTCATCATCATCATCTTGCTGGCAATGAATTGGGATATGTTGATGATTATATCATTATCATTATCCTTGAAGTGAGTGAGTGCTAGGACGTTTTCATGACTCTGCCCATACCCCATCCTCGATGTCACCACTGTTCTTATAATGCTACTTTCATCATCATCATCATCCGAAACAAATGATGGTCGAATACAACGAGTGCTATGATGTTGTTTGGAATGATGTGATGATGTATGTCGCTGGTGATGGTGGAAAAACCACCAAACACTACAATGATAACGACGACGACGACAATGATGCTTTTGGTTATAATGATGCTACAGATGACAACTATGTTGACGCTGGTGAAGATGACGTGGTGATGATAATTATATTGACTACGATGACGTCATAGATGACAAACGACAATGTCAACGATGAGTGAGTAATAGTATTAGTACAGAGAATAAAGAGTTGTAGTAGTAGCAGCAGTAGTAATTTTAATCTTAGTAAATGCAGCCATAATAGTAGTAGTGGTAGTGGTAGTGGTAGTAGTGGCGGCAACAATAGTCGTAGTAGTAACAGCACTAGTAGTAGCAATAGTAGTAGTAGTAGTAGTAGTAGTAGTAGTAGTAGTTGTAGTAGTAGTAGTAGTAGTAGTAGTAGTAGTAGTAGTAGTAGTAGTAGCAGCAGCAGCAGCAATAGTAGTAGCAGTAGCAGTAGTGGTAGGTGTAGTAGCAGAGTAACAGAAAAAGTATTAGTAGTAGTAGTAGTAGTATTAGTAGTAGTAGCAGCAGCAGTAGTAGTAGATGTAGCAAAAAAAGTAGTAGTAGTAGTAGTAGTGGTGGTGGTGGTGGTATTGGAACAATCATGTAACTTTCCCAAGCACCAAATTAAAAACTTCCAATGAAAAGAACAAAAGGTCAAATGTCGACAAGGCGGTCATGATGATCATGATTTTGTCTTGATGATGATGATGACGACGACGATGATGGTGATGATGATGATAAGATGAAGTCAATGATAATGAATATAATATCACAATTACAAAAATGATTATAAAAAATAAAGATCATTATTAACTGTTAATTTCATTTTTTATATAGTTTTTATTATCATCATCTTTAACATTACAATCCCAATTTCATCGTAACCATCATCATGGTCATCTTTACTATCATTAACTTCATCATTGTCATCGTCATCTTTATCACTTTTATCCCTTATACCGTCATCATCGTCGTCGTCATCGTCATTATCATCGTCTTTTCTATTGTGTATATCATCATCG